CGATGCAAATGCCTAACATTGTCTTGGGGCTCCAAACAAAGGGCTAGTAGCTCAATTATACCTACTGATCCAGATGAATGTGACAGGATGTGGGAGGAAGTGACTGCCACAGAGCTGCTAAACTCAAACCTTTTGGAATCTCCCAAATACCAGATTATCCCAGAAGTCAGTCCCTGTGGTCTGAACTACCCTCTCACCTCTAAACTAGGGGCATGGAATGACGATACCTTTAAAGGAAGTCAATGTACAAATAACAGAATCAAATCCCATATGCTAAAGAAAAATTTCAGCGGTGAGAATAAATGCAATCGGAAAACTGTAAGCAGTTATCAGTACCTCAGGGAAAAGGAAGTATTTTATAAACCACATCAAATTAATTTGAGAAAGCCTTAAAAAAAAAAAAAAAAAAAGTCCGTCATCTATATGTGACCAAGAAGGATATTTGGTTAAGCTCACAGGCTCTGGGCATGAATTCTCATCCCTCTGCTTTACCAGCTGTGTAACTATAACACTCAATTAAACACTCTATGCCTCAGATTTCCTCAACTGAGAATGGGATACAAACTATATACTGCTTAGGGTAATAGATTTGGCCATGATACATCAAAAGCACTAAATAAAAGTTATTATTATTTCAACCATTAAAGTGTATCATCCTTATTACTACATAGGAAATAGGATGCCTGTCACATAGCAGACTGTCAATACATATTTTTGAATGAATAAGTATGTGAATATGTGAATAAATTTCATAGGGTTAGACTCTCACATGAAATACAATATATGAATATTGATGTTGGATATTCTCGAGAGAAGTGATTACTGATGTTTAAAAATTTTCAGAAATGTTATTTCAGTCTAAAAATTATGAAACAATAACGCAAAGTGCAGTTTAAAAAACATATATTTACAGCATAACTGATAGGGATTTTTAAAATGTTGCTCCGGTGTTATGCATCATATAGACTGAAAATCAACTGAGCACAGAGGTTTATTAAATGTCTTTGGCAATGACTGTCAAGTTTCCTAGAATCAGCATGGTTAAATGGTAAGCTTCCAGAGGGCAGGGTGATTTACCTGTTTTGCCAATACCTAATAAAAAGTCTGACATATATTACATCCTTAGATGCTGTCAGGAAAAGGAAAGGAAAAATGATTTTACTCAGTATGACTTCTAAATGGAACGTTCAAACCTAAATATATTTTATATATGTTTTACTGCTTGAAAATAAAAATGACAATTCTCACTTACTTCATGTGGGACTTGGGCCTGGAGCTACTTTTCCCCAGGTGAGAAAGGAAACAGAAAGTGACCCAGTGCCTTAAAAATGTGTGAGTGTGTGCACGTGTGTGTGGTGGGGGAGGGGTGGGAAAAATGTACATATCAGATTTAAAATTTCTCAGGACTACCTGACCTAAACGTTTTTAGAAGGAAAACGTTAGGCTGGGAGAAGTAATAACTGACCTTTTACTTATGGTACTTTTAACAAAATGAATCTATCCTTGTACTGAATGTATACATATTTCTCCAGTTCTTAAGTTCAATTTCTAAAACTTCAGGGAAAACTAAAATGAAAATGAAATGCTTTATTGTAAATCAAAATGTTTACTTTATTTAACTCCCCATTTACCTCCCAAATCCATACTCTCAATGTTCTCATCACCACAGGCTTTCTTCTCCCCAAGCCAGATGTATTCTTTCTTTACTTGCAGTTCAAAACACAACGCCCACCTTATCCAACCACATCCACTGAAAAAGTGAGAGTAACAAGAAAGTGACCAACTTCAGATCCATAAGGAGCTAAGTGTTTGTGTCTTAGCAGGTTTTTACAAAAATAAACACGTGGTACAAAAACTTAATAGATGGATGTCAATCTATTTGGGCAGATTTAGGATTTAGGAAGGCAGTAACAGAAATAAGGGCATAGTTACAAATCAAACCACATGCACCCTTATGGAGTTCCTGCATCTGGAGAAAACCTTGCAAATATTATCAGACATTATAGAAAGACAACATAAGTATTCATTTTAAAATCAACACACTCTAAAATTTATCATTGGGAAAGGACTTTTGGGTCCGTCACTGACCAGCATTTTGACTTTAATCTCTAGGGCCACTGGCTCCTTCATCTGTCCAAGGAGGAGTCTGGGTAGGATAAAACTTAGTTCTAAGATTCCAAGGACATCTGCCCAGCAAATGTGGGCAATCCTCCTAAGAGCACTGGAGGCAGGCTTGTCAGATACCCCAGGCACATTCATGCTGGATTCCCACTGGTATTCTCTCCCAGCCTCTACTCTATAAAGGGAGCTGAACTGAGGTCTGCAGGGTGGACATTCTGCTCAGCATAACAGTAAGGGACTCTATAGCTATACTTGCTACTGAAGTATTTTATATTAAACAAAACTCTTAATGTACAGCAAAATGTGGATGCTAGATTGTATGTTCAAAATTCTCAAGTGAATAAATCAAAACTCCACAGGGGGGTAAAACAAGTCTTAAGAGTTGGCATTTCTTGATGGTACGTTCCATTTTGTATAAGACTGAGGCAATATTTTTTTGCTAGGCATTTTTCACAATGCCATCTTCATCACTATCTCTCAACCACAGGGGAGAGAAAGAGTAGTTTTGCCAAGCTCAGCATATATTTTGGGCTTAGGCCTTACAGAGCCTGGATTTCTCTGCTTTAACTAATAACTTATGACAGAAAAGAAAATAAAGAAGCGAATGGAAAATAGTTCATTATTAAAACATTCTGCATTGAGTACTAAGAGTCATGGACTCATCCTAGAGAAAGAAACAAAAGATGACACAGCAGAGTATAAAACAGCTCACTCATTTAAAAGAACAGGTTGCATTTTTTTCATAATATTAAACATTAAATTAATTTCAAATATTTGTTGCTGCTGGTAAACGACACATAGCTTTTTCAAAAGATATTTTTAAAGAAAAGACAACTGTAATTATAACTGATGTTGAAGTTACAGCCTAGTTCCACCGCTCAGTGATTACTGCAGGGTCTCCAGCTACACACAGATGCACGTTCCTCCAAAGGCCTCTCTACAGAAATTCACCAATGTAGGACTCTAAAACCAAGCCCCGAATTTCATTTTGTCATTCTGTTTAATGTTATAATTGTCTGTATTCAATTCATTTCCCATGATAACATTAAGTAAACTCACAATTATATTTAGAAGCTATAGTGAGGTGGAGTTTACTGGCTGAATGTTGATGTCATTTAACAATTAATTCTCACTGCTTCTATCAGTAAATACTCGTACTAGCATCCTCTTCTCCAGGTCACGGTAAATGCCTTAAATCTTTGCCTGAATTTACTTCCAAAATCAATGGGACATTTAGCAACACGTAGATGCACGGCATTCCTGTACTGGGTGTTTATGCGTATTTTAACTCTGGGTTTAAAAAAAAAAAAGTTTATTTCTAGGACATTTCAAATGTGCAAATGCTAGCAACCAAGTGACATATTATCTGAAGTTGTCTGCAAAACCCCAAGTCCCAGATGTAAGAGTCACCTGCTTCATTATATCATCCTATTGATTTAACTGTGTTTAATTAATTTAAATTACTTTTATTCGATGGTTATAAATCCACATCCTCTCTACTCCAAGGGTGAGAGAGGGAAGATAGAAGGAAATAAGCTAAAATGACAAAGAGCGTTTGCCCTGAATTCCAAGAAATTGACACTTGCGATATAGAAAATATTTTACCTATGGCTATAGCCTACCTTAAAAGAATATCGAAAGCCGTAATTAACTATAGACTTAATTCATTCGCTCTATTCCTGCAACTGCTAACAAATATCAAAGTAAAGGTGATGGACTGTAACCTGAGATGCATGGAGTTTCCATAACACAGCAGCCCAAGAGCTCACAAAGCTTCCTTCCAAAGGTGTTAGTAGCCTCACGAGCATCACACTGGAAATACATTTTGAGAATATCTCAATTGCAGAAATGTTTATAGCAAAATCAGTTCACATTCAAGTGACTGACAGACGAACACTCAGATTTACATTTTGAACTTGAAATAAAAGAAGAACTTCGAAACGGGGTAAAAATCCAGTTAGATCGTACTTGAATTATACTATAACATGGGATGACCTCACATTGGGTTTGACACTGAGGGATGGCATTCTAACACAATTATGTAGTGACTACACAGCAGCCCATTAAGAGCAGGTTCACAGCACCCTTTTCTATGTGAAGTCAGCTGAGCATTATCGAAAATGATGTTTGGTTTTAAATTTAGAGACAGGGGCAGTCTCTATCAAGAGTTTTAGTTACGCTTCACCAAAATTCATTCTAAAATATCAAGTACAATAGTAATAAATCTTTGTCTCACTTCAAGAATCTCTGATGATAGGACAGGAATCTCAGAGAAAAAAAAAAAAAGATTCCACCAAGAGACAAAACAAAAGAAGTAAACCAATGGCACAAAACTGTTGACAAAATCCCCCCAAAAGTAACTACTCAATCTTTAGTTACAGGGAAGAAACTTCTTATTTTTATAATTGCTTATACTAAATGCTTTTCTCCCCCTTTTTGCAATGAACAAAATATCCCAAAGCCGTACTCTCATTTTGTTCAGGTAGCATGGCAAAGTTTTATATTAACACTCTCACTGACATTCCCACTCACCAAAGGCTCCTGAAAGTTATACCACCTTTACTCTTTCTCAAATTAGGGCACTCAGGAGAATGCGGCTTCCATGATCAGAGCACTCAGAAGAGGAATCTCAAAACAAGCTAGCACAGTCTTCTGCTGAACTGTTTTTCCTTTGCTCTTTTCCCCAAGGGAGAGAAAGTGTAAACGCTCTGTTCAGAATAAATCAGGCATACTGTTTAAAGTCACCAGTGGTCAAGACACTTTGCAATTTTGACAGTCTTGCTTCAGATACCAGTTGCTTTAGACTATGGAGCCCCATCAAACCTCAAATCAGGGCTGCCCATGATGGCTTATTATTTATTACATGCTATGCTAAGTACCTGTGAAAGGGGGCACTCCTTGGCCAACGAACTCTGATTCATATCTTTCAGTAAGTCCTTCAGAGCATTCCTTACTGTGGTGTGCGACCATTGTTCGGGAGGCAAGTCTTCTAGTTTGGGGCAACTATTTGAGACATAGATTAGAAAGGGGATTATTACAAGATTGCATCCCGCTGCAGAACATTCCTTTAAGACAGACAGATTTCATTTTGCGCATCAAACAGATGCATCTGGAGATTGCTCTCGGTCTCCTGATTGTTCCGATTAGTTAATTACTTTATACAACACATCTGCTGTATCGATGCATGAATTATACATCAGCTGCCTGTGGTGGCTATTTTTTCATGTTACTTCTACCTTCCTGCTCTGATGCGCTTGGGAAGACAATTTAAGGTGTACTGCTTTCTCACGAGCCATCGTGAAAAGCATTAACGTATTAACCGTTTTCCTTTCATGACTCTGTTCATACGAATTAAAATGGTAAAAAAATATAAATAAATAAGATCGCGGCAAGAGTGAATAAGGCACTCTTTCACAAAATGTACACAGATGGCACTGTTCATGATATGCAAAAATATTTTTCTCTTAAGTAAACTTTATGTAAAATGCCTTCTTGTAATGCATCATTTAATTGACTAAATATAAAAAGTCTTGTCTTTTGATATCCTGCACAAAACCTACAAATTTGGTGGGGGGGGGGTAGTAGAGGGAGGCTGCTTTTAAATATACACTGAAGTTAGAAAAATAAAGCAGAAAGAGTAAAGTAATAAAATCAGTTTGGATTAACCTTTCTGAAACACAGAGTAAATAAAAATCAAAGGCTGACCAGAGACACTTTATTTCAAAAGATCAGGCACATAGAACGTTTTGCCCTAGAACTGCTGTCCTGACTCACCTGTGTAACTGAATTTTCAATGTGACCACATGATACACGTCTTGAAGCATATCTGCTACCGTAGCATCAGGGGCATCTGTCACATAAGACAGTGGAACTGGATTCCACTTTCCAACCTGGATTAGCCCTATTCCAGATAAAGAGAATATGTCACTAAATATTTTACCTTTCAGATAATATTTCTAGTAGAAGGTGGTGGTGGTTTTTTTCATTGCCCCCACCACAAGCAATATTGTTATTTCTGTTTGAATGATTCCCTTCCCTCTAAAAGGCAGGTCAATGAAAATATTCACAGCTTAGCTTTCCAAATTGTGAAATTATGTAAATGACTGTAGGGTTGTTTATTATTTTGGAAATAAAACCCCATCAATAAAACCTATGCATAGGCCACATTTTCCTAACTTACAGGAAGTTCCAATAAGACATAGCTGAACCAGTTCTAAATGGCTTTACGATTTAGATAAGATTCTCTATTGCAATGGGAATCAGCACTGAAAAATACTTTACAGCCCATAAAACCATCAGAAACAGAATAAAAGAAACAGAACTAGATATTCAGTCATAAATGCAAATTGACTCTCAACAGTCCATCTGCTCAAATACGCTCCTCACTTCCTTGTGGGTCCTCAGTGGAGCAGATTATTAAGGTCAATAAGCATACTAATGATTCAGCTGAAGTAATTTAAAAAAAAAATCTACCTCGACATTCCACACGAGCAAAATGTGTGTTAACTAAACCAAACTGAATTAAGCCAATTTTTTAAACCCACAGTCTATAAGGAACCAATGTAACACACAGGCTACAGTTCTTTGAATAAAAATATTCAGTGCTTTCTCTGCAAAGTAAACAAAGGATGCCAAGCAATTTTTCCAACCCCACGTATGCATTATTTACCTTTGGCCTGGGCAGCAGAGCTATGCGAATAACCCAGAGACAGCAATGCCATTTCTATCAGCTGGTTGAAAAGCATATCCTTTCTCACCAACACAAACTCCGCATGCTCCTCCTTGCAATCATATTCAATGGCGTTTTCATAATGTTCCACCACGCAGAAAACTGGTAGCATGGTTCCTATCAAAGAGACAGAGAAAAAGAGACGCAAACCAACAATCTTCAGAAATACAATCTGGGGGGAGGAAAAACTAAACCATGAAAATAAATCTTCCCAACAGTGAGAGAAGGGGAGACTGTGTTTCCAAGGCAGACAGGGCACAGAAATACAAGCATGCACACACAAACATATACACACTCTTTTATTGTTTAAAGTTGTAAGAGATTCTATTTAAATAGAATGTGAACTTGGTCCTAAGGTAACTTGGGCTCTGCTTTAATATTAGCAGTACATTTTCCAAAATCAGTTAATGCAGAATTACCTTTTTGATCAAATAATAATGCTGATGAGAGAGAAGTGTCTTGTCTGATCTGCTGTGAGTGGTATACAGGGTGCAAATGTAACTCACTATAGTTACCCACCTTCATGCTTTCTACATGCTTTTGTTAACATTAAACTTCTCCTGTTTGTGTCCAAATTATCTTTGACTCTAACATTTTTAGCATTTTCTTCCTTTTTGAAGACCTTTACTTAACAGTTCCATAAAAGAAACACAAAACTTAACCAAACTGATGCTCAAAATACATGATTTCAATATGTGCATAATGTAAATAAGATTTATTTCTATGGCCACTGATTTAATCTACCTGACTAAAAAGATACCACAGCAACCATAGGTCTTGAAAATGAACAATCTTTGTTGCATGTTATGAGAGAGAGAAAAGGAAAGTGGCCTCAGAAGGACATACGAGGATAAAGGAATCTGCATAGATTTGATGTGTTCTTTATTTACTTTAATCCAATGTAGTAACTCAGTAGCCAGATGATTAATAAGCACAGGCTACACCACCGTTAGAAAAGAGGCTTCTAGAAATTGAAATCATGGAATGCTGTAGTACTCAAGGTGTTTATGCAGCGCACTGTCAGACTCCCAGTGATATACGGAAAAGGGTTAAAAGCAGATGCATCTGAACTGTACTGTGGCAAACTGCCAGGAGGGTATCATCTTTAGCATAAATGATGACAAGGGTTACTTTAACAGGGCACCCAGGATCCCCAATTAGTCCTATAACATTAATGCCTCTATAAGTCTCTGCCCTCTGGACTCACAGAATCCTACCAACTTCTGGAGATTTCTAGTGCATACCAACCAGAGCTCAAAATCAGGATTTCCTCCTGACACTAGAGATGCCCTTTAAAAAGGCTCTATTTTCTTGTTTATGCTGAACAAAAGCCAGCAGTAAAACAGCTACATTTTTTTACATGTGCATCCTCACCAAAGCCTTCGTGAACTGTTCACTAGAGATTCTAGCTCTGACAAATAAACCCCTTTAGGTTTACTTAGAAAAGCTCACAAACTCATTCGGAGGTACCCAACAGGCTAGGCATGAAAAACAAGCCGCAGAGCTTGCCAATATTCTTGTCATTCATTCATCTGTTTTATACCAGAGAGAGAACCTGTCAGGGATCAGAAGAAGACTTGGGAAGACCACAGCAAAAATAGCAACATGCAAACTGGTGATTTCTTCCTTGGCTTGAAGGTACTTTGGCAAAATTTCCTAAACAAATAAACAAAAACACCCAACCTCTTTTTCTTAAGTAGCGCTTTCTCATCTCAACCACAATTTTTATCTAGCACCTGTCAAACAGAAACCATGCACATGAAAAATAAGATTAAAACACACACACACACACACCACCACCACCACCACCAAAAAGCTTTAGTAATTTTGTTGTCTGAAGCAAGCTGAGAACCTTCTACAATTAAACTAAATTTTTAAAATAAGTCACTATGAAAGCAATGTTTAAAAAAAAAAAAATTTGAGCAGGAAGTGAAATTACTGTACTTTGGTTTCTCCTCCCCCTGTTCTGATGGCTTCAAAGAGTTGGGTTAGTACAACAAAAACATACGCATTGATTTTTCCTCTTACAGAATGATACAGACGTGTTGTACTATATGTTCCTTAGACCTATGAAAATAACTATAGGTTTTGCAAAACTGTCGAAACATACTGGATTTACTTCAGACTTTATTTAGAGATACCCTATAGACAATTAAGGTGGCTATTGAGAAAGTGACAAGAGAATCATTTAATGACAAATCTAGCTGCTAAACCTTCTAGCAAACTTGTCACCCTTGCCTTCCTGATACTGGAGTAATGCTGAACAGGAGCCTTCTCTGAACTGTCTGATTATTTGTGCTAGTGTTTGGCGAGACTTCCAACTACAGCAACTTCATAACCTTCCAGCATTAAAAGGGGAGTGCACTGGTCACTGCTGAATGCTAAAAATACCACATGATTTAAACCTGGAGGCAGTCTTAGAAGCTTTTGCTGAAGGTTTATGAGCCTGTGTAAACAGCACGTCTGCCATAAGGAGCAGTGAAGTCTGTAGAATCCTTGTCTAAAACTGTCCTGGCATTAAAGTTTGCTGTGCAAATATCACATAATACCAGAGACAGCTGAAATCTCCTATTTAGGAATTTATGGAACTTATATGTTTGCAGGCGTCAGAAAGTCTTTTTTATAGAGCCCCAGTGCTTCACAGTACAATATTAATGCACTCAGTTTCAAAAGCCGTAATAAATTATATTTTTAATGCTCTTACCCTGGCTTTCTTAAGATGCATACATTCTTGGCAAACAATCAATAAATAGGGTAATCATGAGTAGAGGCCAAAGAATTTGCTGAAGTGCTGTTTTTCCATTTTTAATAGATAAAGATCTAACAATACGGACTGCTGTGTCTGTTCATTTCAGGATCAATATATTCTTTGTTTTCGCCAAACCAAGAAAAAAATAAATGATTGTATGATAAATGTTATGCATCAAACACAATGAAATTCCTCTGCCTTCTAACTTTATCTACTTAATATTCTTGGTTGCTAAAAGATGGCATTTTTATCCTTCGCTTAGCAAATGTAAGGAAAAATCTGAATCCTAAACACAGTTATTCAGAGACAAAATAAAGACCATTATGAGACACACACGTTATACCCAGCATAGGCACTGATCTACATAAATAGCAGTGCTGAACACAAAGTTGTTAAACTTCATCAATTTAATATAAAATTGGTAGAAAGGAGTCACACAGTTACATATCCTCCCTTTATAAACTTGCTTAAGTCTGCCCTTCCTTTATCAAAAAATATTCAACCATAGCAAAAATAAAAAACTAGAATCATCAGGTTTTTCACTGCTAAATAATAAATTTGCTCTTAAGAAAACAAGCCACCAAAAAAAATGACATCGCAAAACTTTTACATCATATCACGTAAGATTCCCATTATCTCTGAAAATGACTTATAGCTAGTAATCCTCTGAAAAAACCCAAGACAGTCCTCAAACAATCTAAGTGTCTTATTCTTAATCGGGGTTAGTTTAAGTAACAGCCACCTACACATCCCCTACTACAATAACACCTTGTCAGTGGAAGCCTTGTGTAACGAAGGCCGTTACATTTAACTCAGTCCTTCTCATCCAAACACCCAACGATTCCACTCTATAGTAGGGTAAGGTGCTCCAGTCAAGCACAGAGCCTACAACTTCCAAACATGACTGACACGGCAGCGTGGAATGTAACTAATTTCACATCAGAAAGAGAATCAAGGAAAAGAACATACAAAGACATGTTCTGCCTCTCCACCCCCACACAAAGTGGACTTGAGTAGACACTAGGGCTTGCAGCTTTCCAGGATTTGGCTTGAAAAGTATTTACCTTTCCTAAGGTTGGTTTTCATCAGATGGCCCGAGTGTTTTAAAGGCACTCCCTGCATTTTTGCACCTGTACTCCCAAGTCTTCCTCTTCCTAGTGGGCTCCCGTTCTGCTCCAGGCGGGCAATCTTGGCTGGTGGACCCTTCGGATCGCTCACATTGTTAGACATTTCTGAATGTTCTTTCCCCTGAGTTGCCTCGTTCAAATGATCCATACTCAGTTACCCTCTAAAGATCACCTGCCAGAATTTAAAAAGAAGACACATTATAATTAGATGGGGGTCTCTCTCTCTCTCTCTCCCCCACCCTCTCTTATATATATATGATACACCGAATAAATATTTTATCCCTAGCTATTTCTCTCCACAAATACAACATACTTGTAAAATTGCTTAACTAGGTAAATAATATACTGCGGATGTTACTGTATTTTTAGGTAACAGTATTACATTTCCATTCAAGTTAACAGAATAATTTGTGGAAACTGTAGCTACACATATTAGAATAAAAAGGTAACTTGTCACCTACCAACAAAACTAAGTTGGGGGAAATGGGCTTACTTTTAGAACAAGAATTACCACAAGTATAGCTAAAAAGAAAACAACATATTTATGTAGTCCCAATTTTTAAAAATTAGAAACTTATTACGAACATAATAGTAACACTTTAATCAAGAATGGAAAGACTATCACAGTCCAAAATATTAATTAAATCTGATGTACATGTTTACATTTTTACACAGTTTAATTTTTATGAGGAAAAAAATATATATATACCACCTCAAAAGAAGGTAGCAAATATCTGCTTTTTAAACTCATTGGCTTTACAGGTTAATTCACAGAAAAAGTTTTCTACTGTTAAAGTTTCAAGAATTAGGTGACCTGTTAAAAATCTAGTCAAGTCCTGGCTCAAACATGTGATTGGATCACATCACCCTTAAGGAAATGGAAAGAAATGGAGGATTTCTTTAAATACCCCAGGTGCTTAAGCATTACAACTTATGTGTTGTAGCATTAATATTTAGGTGTCCCTTAATAATAGAATGCTGTTAATTTAAATAGCAAAAACCTTGAAAATACTTTGTGATATACATATCAGATTGAAGTACCAAACTCACTTTTTAAAAAAATCTTGATGATTTTGGTAAAACACAGTCACCAGCATTTAAAAATAATCTTGGTACGCAATGAAGTCAACATCTTAATTGACTCCAGAAAAAACATAGCAGATAATTGTTTTCAGTTATATTATACATTGGACATCAATTTTCATACTGTTTATAATAAAGCAATTAGTACAATATCAAAGTCACTTCTAAAATGCAGTTTTAATTGAACTGATAAGAACAGGTTTAGCAGAATTATAAACTTTCACGGTACTTTACGTGTGGGAACTCACCAATACTAAGGGAAAGGGGATCATATTTAGGAAAGCTAATGAGAGTATAATAATTACCATTTTCTTCCAGCTGTCTGGTAATTCAACATATCTTGTACTTAAAAAAAAAAAAAAATTATTGTACCAAAGAAGCTATTGAGATTTGTGTTTGTTGAAAGCCAGCTTGTATTAGCATGGCCTTTCTGTAAGCATTTCTTCCCTCTTTAACCATAGATTACTTTGTCCATTATAATCAAGAAAAGAGGTGAATGGGGGTGGGGGGAGCAATGGTAATCTGTAGGTTTAAAAGCAACCTTAAGAATGCCAACTGAAGAACTATAAAGTTTGAGAAATAATGGCTATTTATCCTTGTACTCTAGGGTGGCACGCTGAGAACTAAAGGTTTACCGTTGATCGAGGTCCCATCTGTTTTTGGTTATGAGGTTCATTAACAATAAATGTGCCTCTTTTAACCACTTTTTATCAAGATTACTCTTTTCCATTATATTAAACTACAGTCTAAAGCCAAAATTAGAGAGCAATGATTATTAACTTATTCAAAACACTGGTTATAATGTTTTATGTGGATTATAATACAGAGCTGCTTTTTTTGAAATTGGTTGCCTTACCCTAGAGCAGAAGATGAATTTTAAAACATATGATTTGAAAAGAAAATACTTAACCCGTGGGGCAATTTGAGGGGAAAAAAAGGGGAGGGGAATAGGCAACAGCATCAAAGTTAATGCTACAAAACATATTAAGTAGTCATGAGGCTTAACAGCATTATAAGCTCTACAGCAAATGAAAGTGATAGATTATAATTTAGTTAATGTATTGACAATCAAAACATCATATAGGTCATGCAAAATTATCCTTCCAATACCCACCTATAAGAGTCTATTAAACACTCAGTCATCTTGTAAAAAGCTTTACATTATAAAGCGAAATTACATGCACATAAAACACCCAATTTACTCATTTAAACTCTATGCCCAAGGCTAAAGTTCACCAAACCTCAGTATGGTATTGGAAAGAGCAGCCTCCACGGGGCCTGCTGGACTGACAGCACGGGAACTAACTACGGTCTCAACAGATGCCAGGCTGAAGAGTTTCTTTTGAGTTACACATTTTAAAATGCATTTTAGTGTAACGTCTGGTTGGCACACAGAATGCAGGCTACTTTCTCAAAATCCCATTTCCCTGTCCATAAACCAAGTCTATATATGATCATTACTGAATAAAACAGTGAAATCAGACACAGCTATTACTTCCTCCAAAAAGAAAAAGAAAAACACGAAATTCCGGTTTCAACAACCTATTTTTTGCAACGTGGGATCTTTTTCAACGAGTTCCTTGCTGGATAGCCTCATTCGCCCCCCAAAGAACCCCATAATCACATTTTAAGAGATTGTGCTCTTATCCATTCCATATGGCCGGCACGATCCAGGCCAAGCTTTCACTGTGACCTTTTAAAGAGACAAAGAAGCAAAGTACTATCTAGAAACAGAAACACTGCAGTTTTACTGAGTGAAATTAGCAAAACCGACCTGAAACTCACCACTTCAAAACTTGACAGCATATAAATAACAAAAACAAAGGAGATTTCCTTTGCAGCCCGGGTTCTTGAAGAGAAGTTCAAGACTGATGTTTTCTATGTCCTTTTTTTTTTTTAATTAAAAAAAAAAAAAAGCAGCAGACCTGAAGGCGACTTCCCCTGAAATTGTATTATTTTCTCTTCCCCTACCCCCGCCCCCCTAAGCGGGGGAAGGGCAGAAGTAAACGTCTAGAAGAGTAGCCATGGGAGAAGGGTTTAAAAAAAAAAAAAAAATCACAATTCGAAAAACAACATATATGGTTTGTAAAATGTCTAACCTCAGAGAACGGGGTTTTCGATGGGGGAGGAGGGGAGAGTGGGAAGTAGGGAGGAGGGAGAAGATAAAATTGATCTGACAAGTGATTCGTTGGGGGAAAAATCGTAAAAACAAAGCAAAACCCGTTATGAGCTGTACACTGTGGTGGTGCTGGGGAGGCGAGGTGGTGACTGAGGATTCTCTTAAAAAGAGAAAAAAAAAAAATCACTGCGGACAAGGTCTCTAGAAAGGAAAAAAGGTCCCCTCGCTTCCCTCCCTCCCTCCTGCTCGCTCGGGTTCTTCGGTGTGAGGACAGAAAGTCTACTTCTGGCTGTCACTTGCAATATTATTCTCTAACAACCCCGGAGAACGCAGAGAGGGGAAGGCCACCTCACCTCCCTTCCAATCGCCCCCACCCCCTCCCCAACAATTGCGACTAATTATTAACAAACCTTAAACTTTCTTCCCACAGCCTCGCACCCCCAACGAGGGCATCTACCGGGGGATAGCGAGGGTGGGGGGCAGAAGGTCGCGGAAAGAGCCCCGGAAAGGCACTGAAATGCCACTTTTGATTCGGCCCTCGCTGATAGCAGCCCCGAGGACCCTCTCCCAGCCCATTGACGCGGGGCTGCGAGCGCCTGGGAGCCGAGTGAGTAGGGAGAGAGAAAGAGGGTTTGGGGGGAGGAGGAGGGAATCAGAAGGCACCCCCAGCCACCTCCACCGCCTCAGCAGCGACAAACTCCCCGCCCCCTCCCCCCAAAAAGTCGCCAAGCTCTCACTCAGCCAGAGTCCGAGGTAAACAACGAGCACCACAATGGCACTGGGACTTGGGGGGGAAAGAAACCCAGAAACCCCAACAAAACTGATGAGGAGTTTCCCGAAATGCAAGAGGGGGTGGGAAGCGAGCTCTGGAGTCGCCCGGCTTTATGCTCGGTCCTCGGGCCGGGCTAGAGGGCGGCTGTTGCTGTTGTTGTGACGAGGCCGGTTGTTGCTGGGTGGCACAGGGAGAGGTGTGTGTGTGTGTTTGTGTGTGTGTGCGTGCGTGTGAGCGCGAGTCCCCGGACGGGGCTGCTTCTCTCTCTCTCTCCCTCGCTCGCTCTCGCTCGCTCTCCCCCGCGCTGCCGTCTCTGCCCCCATTAAATTATTAGTTGACTCATCCCGGCCGCTGTCGCCGCCGCCGCCGTGCCCAGCTCGGCTCCGCGCGTCCGCCCGGGCTGCAGCCCTCTACGCCGCTGTTCCTGCTGCTGCTGCTGCTGCTGCCGCCGCCGCCGCTGTGGCTGCCTCTTCTTCCTCCTCCTCATTTTAATACAAAATCACCCCGCTCGCAGCCCCAGCCCCGAGCACGCAGCCTCCTCCCGGCCGCCCGCCGCCGCCCCGAGCCCTTCCCCAGCGGGGCCGGCTCATCCGCCGCGTCCGGGGAGCGGGAGCGAGCGAGAAAGTGGCGGCGGCGGCGGCGGAGGAGGAGGGGGGAGGGAGAGGAGGAGGAAGGGGGTGCGGAGCGGAGGAGGAAGGCGGCGGGGGGGGGGCAGGGTGCAAGGAGAAGGCGGAAAAGGGATGGGGATTAAAACCCGGGCTGGAGGGCCGGGATTGGGGGAGGGGGCGGGGGCGGCGAGTTAAAAAGCAAAAAGACAAGTAACTAGTGAATGAGTGAGGGAAGGGGTGGGGGGGGAGCGCACGATTTCCGGCCCCGGGCGCGCAAGAATTTGTAATGAGCTTGATTAGAGTGAGGCGGCCCGACATTTATTACACACAATACCGAGAATAACAGGGCGCCGCGCGAGGGTTGGGGCCGGCCGCCGCCAGGCGCGCCGGGGAGGGCGCGGAGGGGAGGGGAGAGGGGGC